GAAACATGCTGCCTGATGGGTCACTATTTCCTCCCCGTTTATTGGAACAGACATTTAGGAAAATGACAAGGACATAAGTATGAATAGGGCATAGGTAATGGGTGGCACAGTCAGGGATAAATATTCCAGAGCACGCAGTCAGGGGAACAACCTTGCAAACACAGCAAGCTGTTAGGCGTGTTGAGCAATGAACTCTTCTAGACAGGACGAGCCTACGGTGGCAAATATTTCACAGAGGCTGGGGAAAAAAGATCCAGGCAGCATCTTCTGCCTGGCCAGGTACACGGAAGCAAGACGTTGACAAAGTGTGCTCAGCGCATTAAGAGGTCAATGCAGCGCCGTCCACCTCATTAGCAGGCTCCAGCAGAATACCCCTGGTGCATAACACTAAATCATGACATTTTTAAATGCATGTGGAAACCAAGACCTTAAAGTCAAAACCCTCCAGTTCTTCCATTTGGTCTTCCTTATCAGCCTACTCTCTCCAGTTTTCATGCAAATGGTGGCCACCTACTGAGCAGTAACAAAAGCTATTTCCAGGACTGTCTGGGCTTCCACCATTCAAAGGAAACTTCAGGTGTGTGTTTCATCAATAGTTTTATCCTTCCTTCAGAGAAGCGCTTCCTTCCTAGAACCCTCAGACTCTTGGCCCATGGCTGCCTCCTCCTCCACCAAGACAGAAGGACTCAGAGTTTCCCGCCCTCTACCCACTAACAGTTACATCCTGAGTGCCCTGGCCTCTCCCCTGGGAGATAACGCCTCACCTGTTCCCAGCATCCTCGCCCCTCCCACTGCTCAGAAACTTTGCCTACTCCATTCTCTCTTCCACTCTCTCTCTTCAGCCCCTTCCTTCACCTGGCTCTTTGTCATGGCCACAGAAGGATGATTTAAAAATGCTTTTTCTAAAAGCTGTTTCTTGGTCTCATGTCCCTGCCTGGCTGAGATAATACTTCCCTCCCTTTGTGTCTAATTTTTTTTACCTTCCGTTTATCCACGACCGTCAGGTTTCTTCTTGCTAGCACCACCTGAGACCTACTCTAATAAATATCATGTTATGGGCGGGAGTGTGTCCCACAGAAGTTAATTCCAGGTTCCTGTGAGTGGGGCATTTCTTGGAAATAGTGCCTTTGTAGAGGAATCATTTGAGATGAGATTGTTTGAGAGGTGACCTTGTAAGAGAAGACAAAAAGACTCAGACATACAGGGAGAACACAGAGCCACAGACCAGGYGATGGGATGATGCTCCCACAAGCCAAGGAAAGCCAAGGGTGGCTAACAACTACAGGGAGCTAGGAGGAAGGTTCTTCCCCAGAGCCTACAGAGAGAGCAAGGCCCTCCCAACACCTTGATTTTGGATCACTAACCTCCAAAACTGTGAGAGAGAACATTGCTTTTGTTTCAAGCCAATCATCTTTGGTAATTTGTTGTAGCAACCATASAACGAAGACACTCCATTACTGGCAGAATTTCTGGAAGGGCACCTAAGGGTCCCAGTTTCGGGCATAGAGGATTTTCAGTGCTACAACCTGGAAAGTCTCAGCCAACCAGCACAAAGGTGCCACTCTGCCTCCTCTGGAACACTGCATCAGTGGGTAATCTGATGGCCTCCTTCCTCTTGAAAAGCTCTCCTTCCCTGGTTCCAAAGTGCTGCTCTCAACTAGGCAATTCCTTCCAAAGTCACAAAGGAAGGCAGCCTTTTCATTCCAAAATTACCACATCCCTCACATCTGCCTCTCTGATGGATTCTGCCTGCAGTCAAGGTGCAGGAAGGTGCATATCACACTCAGAGCTCCCACTAACCACATGAGCCTCTTCCATTTTACTTCCTCCCCCATAACTTCAGCCAAGGAGCCGTGACTCTGTTCGGGATGCCTGCCGGGACCTGCAAGCCGCCTTCCTGCACTCCAGGGCTCATCACTTGCCCCTTTCCTCTCCCTGGAGTACCTCTCCCCTCSTGATTCCACAGACACCTTAACAACATTCCTGGAAACCCTCCTTAGCCCCTCCTGCAACCCTAGCTACTGCTCCCTAGCTACTTCCTCCCTAGCTCCCTGCACCCAGTGCAGACACCTGACAGAAGGTAATGCAGTGGTCCTTTTTACTCACAAACCTAATAACAGTCTGACATTTTTTTAACAGGGAATTTTGCCTCTATCACCTCAAAACTTAGCACAGACCCTGTTCCTTAACAGACACCCAATGAATGTTTATTGACTGTTCCCTCAAAATTAAAAACACACAAATTAAAAATACGACAAGATACCTATTTTAATCAATTTTTTCCCCACTGTGAACCAAAGATGGGACAAGAACAATTTTAGAGAAGGAAAAGTTTATCTGGGGGCTCACAGTTCCAGAGGTCTCAGTCCATAGGTGGCCAGCTCCATTGCTCTGGGCCCAAGATGCTGCAAAACAGCATGGGGGAGAGGAAAGCAGCTCAGAACCAGGCCACCAGGAAGCAGAGAGAGAGCTCCACTCACCAGGGACAAAATATAACCCCCAAAGGCACACCTCCAATGACCACCCTCCAGCCACACCCGACCTGCCTACAGTTACTGGGGGTTAATGCACTGATTCATCTAAGGCTTTTATAACCCAATGATTTCACCATAAACTTTCTTGCATTATCTCACACACGAGCTTTTGGGGGACATCCTATATCTAAACCGTAACAATGCCACTTATGAATCATAGGTCTGACCTCAYGCTCCACAAGGAAGACAGCAGCAAACTGGATCCTAACATGCAGGGCAGGGAGAACACAAGGTGGGGCAAGCTTCATGAGAGGGAAGGGGGCGACCTCTGCAAAGCTCTACACAATCACYCRGAGACCCTGGAACCTCTTYCCACRGTACCCTGCTTCTGCATRAAGAAATGCTTGTGGGGAGCACTGTTSACCAAAACACCACCTGTGCTGGCCCATGGCAGGAAACAACCTAAGCATCACAGAGTAGGGAAGATCAGGGCTCACCATGGTGGACAGTGGCGTAGCCACAAACAGAAGGRTGTCAATTCCTGTGTGCTACCAGGGCGTGGTATCCACCAGGCATCACTGTGTCCAAAATGCTCCTAGGAACAACTGCTGACTTTTATCTGAGAGATTTGAATACATGTTTTTTCATAATGCTGTATATACTGCTTTGTTTATATCACAAAGGAAGTATAAATCATAAAGTGTGACTAAAGGAAAAGAAAACAGGGAGCAAAGATAGAGCCCTCCAAACACTCACATTTCATTAATTTACCTTGAAACTACATAGTAATTTAATGTCAACATGAAGAATTTTTAAACATCAAAAGCAAAATTCAACAAAAGAAAGTAACTGACTTAGGACTAGTGGTGTAGGAAATTATTACACAGAAGGAAATTATTTCAAATGATTTTAAAGAGATAATTAAGTCTCCTAGATTTCCCCCAATGAACTATACATCCTGAGGACCAAGAAGAGAAAATATCTTAAAGGCTTTTCAATAACCAAAAGCAACYAGAGTGGCTTTGAGCTCCTATTCTGAAATGAGAGAGCGTGTTCTGTGGAAAGGGTAGAGGGATAATCATGGGGCCTGCCCACTTGGGATCCCCTGCAAGGCTGAAAAACAAGAGGAGAAGGGAGAAATGGAAGAGGCTAAGAAAGGACCTAGAGTCCTGGAGTCGAGTTGGAAGTGTCAGAAGGAGCTTAGGGTAATTGCGTTTTGGAAAACGCCTTTCCTTAGCACTGTYCACTAAAAGCCTAGCTGTGGGTACTGCTCATGCTCCCAGCAGCCAGAAATGAGTGACTTCAAAGACAGCCTGGGGGCTGTCAGAAGAACTCAGGACCAATCTCAGGAGGTGGCACTGGGCTGAAAGGCCACCATCTAACAACAACAAACATACAAACACAAAACAGCAAAAGAGATTCAAGAAATATACTAACAAGTTGAAATTAATGGACTTCATGTTGATCCTGATTTTATCAAAAAAAAAAAAGAAAAGGAAGAAACAGAAATCAGGAATCAGGGCTTATTTAACACTCAAGACCTTTCAAGATCCCTAGATATCTGATGATTATACTCAATTACTTTTGTTTGGTGATTTTTTTTTGGGGGGGGAATGTTATTATAAAATCCTTATCTTTAATGGTTTTAAACTGAAATATGATGAAAAAATTATAAGAATTGTAAAATTAGCATAAAAGTAATTTGGTGAGTATAGATGGAGCATGGGGGGTGGTTTGAATAAAAACAAAACAAAAAAACATGAGCCATGAATTGGTAAGTGTGGGGCTGGGTTTTCCTTAGACCATTCTCCCTACTTTCATATATATTTGAAGCTTATGGTATAAAGTTTAAGAAGTAASAAAATACAAAGCTATTTTTAATGAATCAGTAAAATACAGTATCTGACTTAGGCTGACAAGATCAGTGTAAGAGCCCTGTGTGCAGGGCAAAGACTGATTTTTTTTTTTTCATCCTAAATGCTTCAAGTGTTTGGGATAAAAAGACCCTCACTAAATTCAAATGAGTTTAAGAAAAGAAGAGTGGTTTTACAGACCAATTCACTAGCCCTAGATTTCCATGGAGATAACTTGAGKCTGGGAATCAGTTTTGCTCTGTAATGTTAGAGGCAAGGGGTGAGTTTTACAGGGAATTTATAAGGTTTTGTTGGGAAATGCAAACATACAGGCTTTTTTGTTTTAGTTGGTTTTGCTGTACTTTTTATAGGTTACACTTTCATCCGCTGGCTCCCAGGAGACCTGCGGCATCTGTAAATGAAGGCAGCCTCAAGTCATAGGAGTTTGCTACCCATGGTAGAAATTTCTTCTGGGATCCTTCACTAAGTAGCGATCAGTTTCTGGCTATGGAAATCTTGCAATGGAGGAGTTTTGTTGTTGCCTTTATCTTAAACAACGTCCAAATCAAGACCATGGGGCAGTAGAGCAATAGTTACTCTATCATCCTCTGTCAGTGAAATGGAATCCACATTTTGCCCGTCACTTCTCAGGTGGGGCATGCTTGCTCCTTACCTTTGTAGGAAATGACGGGGTGCTCAGCTCTCTGGCACTGGGCAGCGTCCTGCGCCTCCGGCTGCACGAGTCTGCACATACCCAAGCTTGAGAACAGCCATGCAATGGCGCAGGCACCCTTCATGGTGGGCCGGGGTCTTTGACTCTGGGTGCTTGCCTTCTATGAAGCTCGTGCTCCCCTCATGTGTGAAAGGTGCCTGGAACACAGAGGAGAACGACTGGTGAACGTGAGTTCAGGTTTTCTTAACTGTAAGTTTATGATTTGTGGAGACAAGAGGCCCTAGATACCTCAGGCAGAGTCTGTTCCTCCGTGATATTCCAGATTGTGTGTGTGTGTGTGTGTATGTGAGTGTGTGTGTGAGTGTGTGTGTGTATACAGACTTCTAATTTCATGCGATAACCCAAGTTTTAAGCTCCACTGAGTACCACAGTCACTTCCAAGCAGTGCCAATTGAACAGTTGTGACCATCAACTGGATTTACCTTGGAAATTTGTCACCACTCCCTTGGGCAAACATAAAGCTCTATGTGGAAATCTTAAAAATTCTTGCTCATTCCTTTTTTGTTTTTAACATTCAAAACATTCTATTTGATAACCATACAACCATTATTCTTTACAAATAACCTGATTAGGATTACTCTACCCAAAACCCTCATAATGCCATATTTGATACATATGTCCTTTAATAGATGACCTGCCTAGAAATATTCTGGCTAGAGAAGGAATCTTAAACACAATCTAAACTGAGAACCTACTGGGTCAAATGAAGGTATTACATTGGAGTTGAGAGTATTTAAAAATTCTTGTCCATTTAAATGATTAACAAGCTTCAAAATAAGAAATGCTCCTAACACATAACAGTCACCCTACCTGGAGGGTTACAGGAGTTAAGGAAGAGTACTCCTGCTATTTAGAGAGGTAAAGGACAGGTCCCTGGAGCAGTTCATATTTGAGTATAATCCTGAAGGATGAAGAGGATTTCCACAGAGATTTCCAAAAGTCCATCCCATGCCAAGGAAGGGAGTCAAAGTCACATTGCAGAGGACAGAAGGAGGATGCAGTGCCTTTGGAATGTTGCACGGGGCTCATCCAGACCAGGGAGTACAAAGGGAGCAGAGGAGGAGCTTCAGGAGCAGGTTCAGGTTTGGAAAGCAAACTACATTAGCTGCGAGGTCTTCATTCATAGAGGACAAGCTACCACAGGGAATTAGTGCTGGAACCCTCCTAGATAAGATCACCCTCACTGCAGTGGACTTAGGAAGCTGCTTCAAGGAGAGTACAGAGGTGAATTGGAAGCTACTGCAGTTGTTCAGAAAATAAATAAATGCAGCTGTGCCTTCAGGTGTTGTCAATGTGAATAAAAAGTTAAGACACAGAGCAGATGACAGACATGGTGGTAAAAGCCAGAAGAGCAATTTAAAGATGGACACATACTCTGACTTCCCTCCCACCCAGAGGCAGGTCTAGGCTCCCTCCACTGAATGGGGTGTTTCTACAATGGCTTTGCTCAATGACTGAGCACAACAGAAGTGGAGGGGTGCTAGTTTCCAAACTCAGGTTGGCAGTTTCTACTTCCTGTCTCTTAAAGTGCCTCCTCTAGAGGACTAAGACTCCATGCCAGAAGTCCTGTGACCCTGAGACTGCCATGCCTGAGAGACCACACGTGATCTGGTTGGCAAGTCCCACTGACCCAGTTATCCCTGCCAAGTCACCGAATGTATTAGTCAAACTGAAGCTCACCAGGTGACTTTAGTAAATATCACAAGATTAAGAATCATCCAAGCAAACCCTGCTAGTATGGTTTAGATGTCCTCCAAAAGCTTGTATATGAGACAATGCAAGAAGGTTCAGGATAAATGATTGGGTTGTGAGAGTCTTGACCCAATCAGTGAATTAATCCCCTGGTGGAGATTAACTGAATGGTTACAGAATTGCTAAGACATGGCTGGGGGAGGTGGGAATTGGAGCGTGACTTTGGGGTATATACTTATATCTGGCAAGTGGAGTCTCTGCTTCCTCGTTGATATGTGAGTGAGCTTCGTCTCTCTGCAACACTCTTCTGCCACACTCTTCTGCCATGAGCCCCAAGGAATGGAGCCAGCTCGCTATGGATTGAGACCTCTGAAACCATGAGCCCCTAAATAAACTCTTCCTCCTCTACAAGTGTTCTGGTCAGATCTTTTAGCCATAGTGGCAAAAAAGTGGACTAAAACACCTGCCAAATTCCTGACTCCAAAAAATGTAAAATATAATAAAATGGCCATGGTTCTAATCTGCTACATTTCAGAAACCTCCAGCAGAGAGGCATAGATGGATATGGACTCAAACTGAATAATGTAAGGGTCTCTGAGGACAACGCTGCCATTCATTTAAATATGATGATGCACAGAAGGATTTTGTTTAGAAGAAAATATCATTTAGTCTTGCACATGTTGGGTTTAAGATGCTGTAGGAATATTTAGGGAAATGCAGTAAAGTGCTGAAATCCAGATTGGGTGCTCCGAGAAACACTTTCTGAGATAGCGGGCCACATTTAGCGTGGTTGAAATCATAAATTTGGTTGATGCTCACCAAAGAGGAAGCATGGGGTGGAGGGGATAGAGTGCTTTGTGTAAGAGGAAGCGATCACAAAAGTGACCACCCAAAGATGACAAAAGAGAACAGAGACAGGCGAACAAGGAAGGGTGGCTCCATGAAGGTCAAGTGAGATTGGAGCAGGGACGCAACAGCTTTAAAACAAGGGTATATGTCACCAGCATCACAAGAGGCAGAGCAAAGGTCACTGGCCTCGGCCAATGGAGTCGGTGTTCAGCTTGAAGGGAACAGACTCGGCAGGACAAGACCCAGAATCCTTACAACAGGGACTCAAGGAAGGAATAGGCGGAGGGCTGTGGAATGAGTGTCTCCCTTAGTTCTTGGTGACAGAGAACATGAAATCAAGTCATCTCTAAAAGGTAAGGGTTAGGAAAGGTAAAAGTTTTAGGATAGAGAAGTCAAATTGGAGTGGTTTGAATGTCCCCTCCCCAACCCATGCTGGACTTGAACTTCTAACACAACAGCATGAGGAGCTGGGTTTTCAAAAGGTGTGGGAATTGACAATGGAAGGGTCAAAGGGCAGAGGGGTGGAGCATGGAGTCAGTGGTGGGGCTCATGTTTACCATGTACAAGGCCCTGGGTTCAATCACCAGCACAAAATACATGAAAAAATTAAAAAAATAACAAAAAGTAGAAAAATTTTACTGAATTTCATGGGATTAACCCAATATCAACAAAAATGACAAGATCTGAAGGCCCAGTTGGGCTTAGAGTCCCAAGTTCATTCATTTTTTTATTTCGTGTCAACTTTATACACGGCTCTCTATGCATGTTTAGATCACAGGGTGAATAGAAAAAGAAAAAAAAGAAAAACAGAACTGAGCAGAACTAAGAGCCCCAGAGAAGTCTGGGGACCTGAAGAAAGTAAGGGACTCGAGAATGCTCCCATTGATAACCACATTCAACTATTAGAGTTGTGCAAAGAAGCAAACCAACAACCAGCTGCAAAGCAAAACCAAGCCATGAGCTGGGCTTCTGCAGGAACCAGACCCACTGAGAAGGAGAGCAGGAAAGGAAAGCAGAGGGAGCGGAGCCAGAGCCAGGTAAAAGGCTCAGGTAAAAGCACCTGCATAAGAACAGTCTTCTCTTGGCTGTAAAATAAAAAGAAAGATTTTCACTCTTGTCATGCTCTGCAAAAACGAAGGCCACTCTGGAACTGCCACCCAGAGGTAGAGACATGATGCCACCCATCTTTCCTTATCCTCCCAACTTAAGGCTGAAGATATGAAATTTCATTAAATGATTCATGTTAAGATAGCTATGCTTTAAACATAATTCATTTCTACTAAAGACCAAGGAGGTTCGGGGTACCCAGAGCAACCCAGCTGAAAGGCAGCAGGAGTCTGTCACAGCCCCAGGTTAAAACAACCAAGTGATGGCAATGATGAAATGGGAGCAGGAGCAAGCCTCAGTAGGCCTGTGTGCGCCAGCCCTGTGGAGGTGGGGGCCACTGCTCACTCCATCCTGGCACCCACAGAAGGTCACTAACACATGGGCTCCCACCAAGAGGCACTGCACATCCAGAGGGATTGGAACCCTGCCCATCTTGACCTCCAAGGCTGAGCTTAAATCAATAACAGGCTAGAGAAAATCCTTTTTTCTTTCCCACAATTTTTCAGTGTGTGCCAGGTCTAAGCCAAGAGAAAATACTCTTCTGTCAAAGATCCTGTTAGTCATATTTCCATAACTGTGAAAAAGTGCCTGAGATAATCAACTGAAAAGGGAGAAAGTTTGTCTTGGCTCATGGGTTCAGAGACTCCAGTCCATGGCCACTTGGCTCCATTATGTGGGCCTGAGGCACCTGTGACATGATGGTAGGACCATGTGGCAAAAGAGGTCGATTCACCTCATGACAGCCAAGAGATGGAAGGGAACGGAATCCCAATTTCTCCCCCAAGGACACACCCCAGTAACCTCTTCCTTCTACAACGCCCCACCTCTTCAACACCCCACCAGCTTCCTGTCATGCCAGGCCTTCCATCCCTGGGCCTTGGGGGACACTCAAGGTCCAAACTGCAGGAACGATGGTATGAGCTACAGACAACTTCTTGCAATTACCACCTCCTGTGTGCTGTGATTTCATCTGGAATGCACCCCCGCCCCCCGCAAAATATTATATGTGGAAGGTTTCAACCTCAATGCAGCAATGATAGGTGGGGCTTTGGGAAGTGACTGGATCCCGAGGACTCTGACCTCAGAGTGGATTAATCCACTGATACCTGAATGGACCACTGGGAAGTGGTAGACTGTAGGCAGGAAGCAGGTCCTGAGGTGGTGCCCTAGGAGACCATTTCTCATCCCTGATCCTCCCTGCCTCCCCCCCAGCTCTGCTTCCCAGCTGCCACAGCTCAGCAGCTTGTCTCCACCACACCCTTCCACCATGATGTCCTGCCTAACCCCAGGCCCAAAGCCATGGAGGCAGAGAGGCATGAAACGGAACCTCTGAAACTCTAATCCAAAATAAATCTTTCCTGCTCTGAGTTGTTTTCTCAGGTATATTGGTCACCGAGACAGAAAAGTGACTAACACGTTTTGTTTAGAATAAGGTACCCACCCTGTCGGAGGACAAGCCCTGACATCTTGGCCTCCTGCATGAAGGAGA